AGATCCGATCCCTTCCCCAAAGGTGGCCTCCGAGACTGCCACAAGGCACCCAAGAGGCCTCCAGAGGCCCCAAGACCCTCCCAAAAAGGCTTCAAGAGGCTCCGAAGAGGCCCTACGAGGCCCCCCAAATGCCCCGCGAGCACGCAGGCAAGTGCCAACGATGCTACAGCATAGAGTGAGCGAAGCGATTGAATTATAAGACCCTTACAGAAAAGCTGCTTAGGAAAAGAACGACTACACTCTTTCATGGTGTGCAGTGTCCCTGTTTCCATCTGGGCATCTAAAGTGCCACCATTCAAGACTGGGGTAGCACCTTCCATGGAAGCTTCCCCCCCCGCCCTCGCCTCCGCCTCATCCAGGCGTCCCTGGCGAGCGCGGCGGCGGAATTGCGCGGCAGCGCATTTTGCTACGCCAGTAACGACATTCATGACCGCCAGTAGCGAGAAGGCAATGTAGGCCGCAAAGGCCCAGCCCAGCAGTAGCCCCAGCTCCTTCTCCAGCGGCTCGGCCAGGACGTCCCAATCGATGCCGCCCGATATCGCCTTCCACAGAGACATCCATGCGTCCGGCAAGGACCCGAAGTAATTCCTCATCCGCAGCTCCCTCTCGTTAAGCGCCTCCTCGGTGAGGTCCGCCATGTGGGTCGTGATCTGCTGGACGAAGAATATGCCCACGATGTACATCAGGAGGAACAGCAGGGCCATGGTTAGAAGAAGTAACAACGGGATACGGTGGGCATTGGAAAGGCACCACGCTATCCCTGTGAGGCGATCCCCCCGAGGGCCTCCTCTGTGCACGCCATCCCCCTGCCAGGGCTTCTTCGGCGCACGCTGACCCCCAAGGTGGAGGATAGCGTGCCATTGGCGGGCTGGCGGCGCCACATCGCACGCCCTCTTTCCAGCACGGACCGTGAGCAGAAACTCTCGGAGCTCCGCGCGGACTTCCTGAATCTGCGATGAGAACCCCCCCCCCTCCCTGGCACGCGGAGTGCGCCAGGGGCGGTGCCTGAGACGCTGTCAGGTGGGGCAGAGCACAGACCCAAGATCTCTGGGCGGAGCTCCGAACATTTGTGCTAATGCCGTTGTTTGTTCTTCCAATGGTCCACCCGAGCGACTTGAGGGAGCCCATGATCGAGGTGACGATCCTGCGCAGCTCGGCGAACATGTCTATGAAGCGTATGATGCGCAGCACCTTGAGCACCCGGACCACCCTGAGGAGCCTCACGCTGCTCAGGTCGACGTCTGACCTTCGACGGCAAGTCCAGGGGGAAGTGAGATGGGGCTTCTCAGAAGCCCTCGCGCCTTCTGACAAGCCCTGTAAGCCTTCTCCGACACCGCAGATGGCTTCTCAGAAGGCGCGAAGGCTTCTGAGAAGCCCCGCCGCCTTCTGAGAAGGCCTGCCCCCTCTCACTTCCCCCCTGGGCTCGCCGCTGAGACCTAAAAAAGCCCGTCAGCAGGGTGAACGCCTCCTCGAGGACCTGCATCAAGACGATCAGGAAATCGAACCAATTCCACAACACCGAAACCTCCCTTCTCGTCAGGAACTGCACCCGGTGCACGTAGAGCTTCAGCATCAGCTCCGCCAGGAATATGACGAAGAAGGTGAGGTCCATGAACCGGTACAACGCTGTCGAGCCGAACATCTGTGGCATCTCCTGAGTTTCGCGCCGAGCCTGCCAATCAACCTCGAACCCGATTAAGGCCGCGTTCAGAGCGATGACGATCCCCATGAAGGTCTCAAACCTGCCACTCTCGAGTATGTCCTTGCCGCGCATGCCCGAGAGAGACTTCATCGCCACGGGCGGCTTCGGGACGCCCAGCCAGCGCCCCGACCGCAAGGGGCCCGACGAGCGGGGCCTCTGCGCCGGAGGCCGAGTGCCGTCGCTGAACGCGATGCCGCGCCCTCCGCTCTCTGCGGCCTCAGGGGCGGGGGCGCAGTCCTGAAGGCATCCCAGATGGAGACCGAGCAGATGGGGTCGGAAGATCGCGCCGCATCGCTGCTGCATTGGGGATGCCTCGGCGCGGTCAGCGTGGAGAACATTGGTTGGGCTCGACATCGAGCCGCATCGCCGACGCATCGGCGATGCGGCGCGATCCTCTGACCCCATCCATGTACTCGGACTGGCTCGTCGTCGGTTTTCGGATCATAGCTCGGGTCTCTGGCGGCCGTTCGGGACAATCCTGGCACACCCGAAACGCTCCCGACGAGACGCAACCGATGGAAACCAATCCGGGGCGCGAAAACTCCCAAAGACCTCCGAAAACAGTCGCAAACGCCGACGCTTCCGAAAACGATCGAAACCTTGCGAGGCTCGGACCCCGTCTGGGAGGCCCGGCAATCCTGGCGCGCCACGTGCTCCTTGGAAGGGGGCCGCGCCGCCGCGGCGCGCAGCCGCGAGGCGCGCACACCGACCTCCGGTGACGGAGGCGCGGGGCCCGCGGCGGCCCGCGGCGACGGCGGGCCTTGCGCCTGCGGCAGCGCGGCGACGCCGCCGCCCAGCCTTAGCTGATGTTTTAGCTTAGAAACTTACGCATACATACGCACAAACATCCGCCACCGTGCCCCGAAGACCGAATTCGAGTGTCCTCAGGTCCTTGGCTTGATCCCTGAAGCCTCAGTCCTCAATCCCGAAGATTATGTAAAAAGAGGCCCAGACCCCGGATTGCCAAATCTTCTTGGGCTCCGGGCTCCCAGCGTCTTCCCGCGTGGATATTTCAGGCCCAAGAGGGCCTCAAGACGGGCCAAGGGCGCCCTAAGAGGCCTCCAAAGACGGTCCAAGATTGCCCCGACTCGCTTCACGATCGTTCCAGTACTCCCAAGACGGCCCTGAGACGGCCCAAGAAGCGTTCGAGGCGCCCCGATAAAGCCCCAAGAGCCTTCCTAACAGGCAAAAATCATTGATTTCCATTAGGTGTTTCAGTGTTTTTGGGGTACTCGACTTTCCGAGCTTCCGACGCTCCAATACGGTCCAAGAGGCCCCGAAGACCGCCCCAAGACGGCCAAAAGGCCCCGAAGACCGCCTCAAGACGGCCCAAGAGGGCTCCAAGACGACCCCAGAGGCGCCCAAGACGGCCTAAGATACGTATCCTAAAGACAGCCCCAAAAAGGGCCCAAAGGGGGCAACACGAACCGAAAATCCAAGTCTTCCGCCCCAATCGGAGGCCCCAAGAGGTCCCCAAGAGGCCCCAAGAGCTCCCCAAGAGGCCCCGAAGACGTCCCAAGAGGCGCTAAAACGGCCCTCAAGAGGCCTCAAAACGGCCCCCAAGAGGCCCCCCATCATATCACAGCGAACACCCCCTATAACCCAGGCGTGGTGGCGGGATGGGCCGAAGGCCGTTATCCGCCGCCCTCTGTTGGCTTGCCAAAAAGGGTACCTGGCGTGCTGAATCCTCTCGGTTTTGGTTTTGGCTTTTTTTCCAAAACTATTCACTGCGTGGAGCTCCCCATATGTGCATCTACTCGCATGGACCTGTCCGCCGTGAATGTCTAGGCGCAAGAGCTTTCGAATATTAACGGGCTTCAGTTGTGACGGTCTGGACATCAATCTAACTGCGAATGAATTGGAGTGTGAATGAGCCTCAGTAGTACGAGCGCGTCTCTGTGCATGAGCCTGGGGCCTCCTGGGGCCTCCTGAAACCTACTGGGGCTTCCTGGGGTCTCCAGGAGCCTCTTGGGACCTCCTGGGACCTCCTAGGAAGGTTTCGTGCCCCAGGAGAGGCGCAATCTATAGCAACAGACGTACATAAAACATTGCGGATTAGAGCCACAGGAGAAGGGCAATCTATAGGAACACGCGTAAAACACCAAGGACTCGTGCCCCAGGAGAGGCCCAATATATAGGAACATGAGTAAAACATTTAGGATTGTGTACACAGGAGAAGGACCATCTATAGAAACATACGTAGAACATCAAAGAATCGTGCTCCAGGTGAGGCCCAATCGATAGGAGCATACGTAAAACACATGGGATTGGAGCCACTCCTGTTGCCTTCTGAGGCCTCCTGCTCCTGGGGCCTCTCGGGGCCTCCTGTTGCCTTCCGAGGCCTCCTGGCGCTTCCTGTTGCCTCCTGGGGCCTCCTGTGGTTTCCCGAGGCCTTCTGGAGCTTCCTGGGGCCTCCTGGAGCCTCTTGGGACATCCTGTGGCCTCTTGAGTCTTTCTGTGGCCTCCTGATGCCTCCTGGGACCTCATGTGGTCTCCTGGGGCCTCCTGGAGCCTGTTGGGGCCTCCTGTGGCATCCTGAGAAGAATCTGCGCCCACGAGCCTGGCCACCAAAACAAGCAAACCGATCGAGACATCCTCAAAATCTGGCCCACCTGGGGGGTGAAAATGAGCGCCTCGCTCGAGACATCCTCCAAATCTGCTCCGAAAGCGAAGGATGTTGGGCCCAGAAACAAGCAAACCGCCTGAGACATCCCCACAAAATGGCCGCGAACGAGCCCGTGCAACCACCCCTGGCGGCTCCCCTTAGGGGTGCTGAAATGAGCGCCTCGCTCGAGACATCCTCCAAATCTGCTCCGAAAGCGAAGGATGTTGGGCCCAGAAACAGGCAAACCGCCTGAGACATCCCCACAAAATGGCCGCGAACGAGCCCGTGCAACCACCCCTGGCGGCTCCCCTTAGGGGTGCTGAAATGAGCGCCTCGCTCGAGACATCCTCCAAATCTGCTCCGAAAGCGAAGGATGTTGGGCCCAGAAACAGGCAAACCGCCTGAGACATCCCCACAAAATGGCCGCGAACGAGCCCGTGCAAACACCCCTGGCGGCTCCCCTTAGGGGTGCTGAAATGAGCGCCTCGCTCGAGACATCCTCCAAATCTGCTCCGAAAGCGAAGGATGTTGGGCCCAGAAACAAGCAAACCGCCTGAGACATCCCCACAAAATGGCCGCGAACGAGCCCGTGCAACCACCCCTGGCGGCTCCCCTTAGGGGTGCTGAAATGAGCGCCTCGCTCGAGACATCCTCCAAATCTGCTCCGAAAGCGAAGGATGTTGGGCCCAGAAACAAGCAAACCGCCTGAGACATCCCCACAAAATGGCCGCGAACGAGCCCGTGCAAACACCCCTGGCGGCTCCCCTTAGGGGTGCTGAAACCAGCGCCCCGCCTGAGACATCCTCACAATCTGCTCTCCAAGCGTGAGAAAGTCTGTTTATGTGTACGTCTGGGTATGAGTAAGTCTGAGTATGAGTAATACTGTGTATGTGTAAGTCTGGGTATGAGTAAGTCTGTGTATGAGTACGTCTGGGTGTGAGTAAGTCTGTGTATGAGTAAGTCTGTGATGAATATGTCTGAGTGTGAGTAAGTCTGAGTATGAGTAGGTCTGAGTATGAGTAAGTCTGAGCATGAGTAAGTCTGAGTATGAGTAGGTCTGAGTATGAGGAAAGAGGAGGAGGGGAGGAGGAAGGAGGAGGGAGGAGAAGGAGTAGGAGGCGTCCAAATAATAACAAGAACCCCATCTTAGGATATGGGGAATAACTCCCCCTGGGGCTTCGGCGCGTCCCGCCGGCCACCCGAAAGGATTGCCCAGACCCTTCCGGAGGTGGTTGCCGAGGGTTTTCGTGCCCCAGAGGCTCCACGACGGCCCAAGATGGCCTCCAAGACGGCTAAGATGGCCCCAAGATGCCTCCAAGACGGCCCAAGATGCACTCAAGACGGCCTGAGATGGCCTTAAGATGGTTTAAGACGACTGAAGAAGCCCCCAGTAGGCCTCCAAGACAGCCCCAAAGGCCTCCAAGAGGTCCTCAAGAAGGGGCCAAAGAGGCCAAATTGATTGACTTGTTTAGTCTCTCACACAGCGGTGGATGCGTCTCGAGTCTCACAGGCAGCGTCTACGCGCAACCGCTGCCAGTCGTCCCACGGTGAGACCAATCTTGACCGATACACCAAGGAAAAATAATATTAGAAAAAAAGAGTGCGGGGAAGGACCGGTTGATCTCGGGAGCCTAAGGCTATGTCAGGAGACAGGGGGAGCGAACCGACGTGATCAACAAACATTTCTGCGCACGCACTCCCATGTTTAGTCTCTCACACAGCAGTGGATGCGTCTCGAGTCTCACAGGCAGCGTCTACGCGCAGCCGCTGCCAGTCGTCCCGAACCATCCCAAACCAGATGTTCTCAGGATTAGAAAGCGAACGAAACCAGGGCACGAAACGGGGATACATAAGATCTGAGCGGACACAGTCCGCACCCTCGAAACCTGGATCTGGTGGGGGCTAGGAGGGCAAAGGCTAAATCGCGGGCCAGGGTGCGAGGATATTCTGCGGCAGTAGCAGTCCAGTGAATTCCGGTTTCAGACTTTCCTGAAAGGTGCCAGTGCGCTTTCCCCGTGCGCGAGCACAGGCCTCTTCGGGCCCTACACTGCTTACTCTACCTGTCGCAGTCATCAGCGCAAATGTTGCCCACGAAAAACTTTGTTCTCTTCCTCCACCGCGTGCCGCATTGGCACTGGTCACGCACTACTGCGAAACGCCGCCCTAGACCCAGCAGCTCGCGAAGGGCGGGGGTCTTAAAGGCGCATGAACTACATGGATTCTTGAGTATCCAAGGGACCCCGTGGGATATACATGCACGGATGAGCTGGGCACTAGCCTTGAGGAGGGCGCTCCCGTGATCCAAGCGGGCCTGAAGGCGAGGGGGCAGACCTGGCAGTCCCATTGGGTCAAGCTCCGACCTGAGACGGCCTGCCTGGGCTATCGAAAACGATATACACGGCAACGCAGTCATCGCTCCTGCGACCTTCCCAGCTCGGACGTCCGAAAGCAGCTTTCCCAACGATAGCCGGCGCAAGATATCACAACCTTTCTGAATCTCGAACTCTCTGCAAGCGTACCCTTGCTGGCGGATGGCCTTCGCCGCCCCGCCAGTCCCTGAGAAAACATCGATGCACCATTGGCCGCGTGAGTCGTCTAGCTGCAACGCGTTACGACCTTGCCCCGTAGGATAACATCCTCTAGCTGTCGCTCGCATTCCTCAAGGTACTGGCTGGGGCCTGAGGCAAACCGCAGCTCGCTGTGACGGAGCCGCGCATGCTTCTCGTACCTCATCACGCTGCTGTCCGCCGTCCACCCTCCTCGCTGCTTTACTTCGCTGAGGGTCTTCCACTGGTTCTCTCGATCGATCGATGCTCCCGAGTGGCGGGTCTGGTAGGGCACTGCCGTCACTCCCAGCGTCTTCCCACACTCGTTGAAAATCCTGAAGTACTCCCAGTAGCTGAACCCCCAGACCGCCTTCCGAGACTGACCCGCCAAGATATGCAGGAGAGGCCCAATGAACCTGAGCCAGGGGCTGTCTAACATCATCGAGTGGTCGAACTCGCCTATCTTGTCGGGCACTCCACTCTCCGCCGGGTGGACAGCAGGCTCCAGGAACCGTAGGCTGACTTCGGCGCTAGGGAGCTCTCGGGCCCGGGCGCAAGCGGGCTGCTTGGACGCAGGTAATTCCTCACTGAGAGCAGCGCGAACAGCGCCATACGCGCCTCCACGCGCTTCGCCATCTCGTTGGCCA